GGGCTAATACAAATCTTATTGTCAAAAGAAGAGTTTAAAGAATCGATATAAATTTTGAGCAAGCTCATTTGAAGTCAGTTAATTGAGTATTTATTCAAAAAAGAGAGCACGCTTGCTTAACAGCACACTAATAGGGACAGTTACCCTATTCCTTTTTATTTTCTTCTCAAAACGTAAAAAGCTTTTTGCACACTGCGAAGGAATAGTGATAACGATAAGCAATAGACACAGAATTCCAACTCGTCGGAGATTTTATTGCTATTGCTTATTCTGTTTTCTGATCTGCGTTGATACATGTGTATTTTTGTATGTTAGATTCCGCTGTTCCTACCGTTATTTATAAATATAAACTCTTTGAAACTGGTGTTATTTCTATCGCTATCGCTATTCCATTGTGCAAGGAGCTAAACTATTGGCCATCATATAGACATAGATATTTATATACATTAATTTTGAATTAATTTGTTTTCAAAATTTATTGTACCATCTCATATAAGGACCTATATGTTGCGTTATATTTTACTATAAAGGTATTTCTTTTAACAAAGATGCTTTTATTCTCTAAAAATATTTTTATGTTACAGTGCAACGTGACTTGAGAAATCATTGAGAATATACAGGGTGTCCCAGAATTGGTTTAACATCTCTCGTAGGCAGGTAGAAGGAATAAAACTGAGTCGAAAAGTCCTATATCATTTTGCTAGATTCGCAATAGTTACTGAGATTTTAATTAACAAAGATCCGCGAATAAGCATGCATCGGGTTGTCTTACGCGCGTAAGACAGCCCAGTGTGCTTAGCGCGCTTACGGTGTTACCCATAGCGACATATGGGAGGAGCTAATATAACAGCATATACTATAACATATACATATTAAAATGTAATTGTGCGAAGCGCGCCGGGCTGTCCTCCGCGCGTAAGACAGCCTGATCACGGTGAGTTGCGCTACCCTTGCGTATCTCTTGTATTCGACTTGTGGTAAATCAACTATTTTTATTAATATCTTAAAACGTAAGCTTCAGACAAAATTTTGCCGAATAAGAAGTTTTATTAAAATTTAATCAAAACTATGTATTTTCAAGGATAACGGGTTGTTATGAATCACCCTGTATATATATTTAATGTTTATAATATTTTGTGTATAATTTTATATAAATTTCTGTTAGTCTGCTATGTAATTACGTATAAGTCATTACGGTATATATTTAAGTATATGTAAGGTGTGCATCATGTATAAAGTACAACAAATATGATTTAGATATATAGTCATACATAATTATGATAGACGGTATGAGTTGAAGCACAGACTTTCGCGTAATGTACAACGCAAAAGATATAAAAGAATCAATCAACTCAGCCTTCTATTTTCATTCTTTACTTCTTGTTCTAGAATGCTTTGATTGGTCGATTCTTTTATGCGTTCTCCATTATGCTAAAGTCTGAGCTTCGGCCTTGCAAATATCACTTTATAATTTAAATCCGTATTACATTTCCTTCACAGTCTATAAGACGGTCACTTGAATCGGTACAAAAAACGTCATAAAGTTTGAAAGCGACATCACAAATATATCAGTAACTATAATAGCATATTCTGTTTGATATCAGCTCTATTATATCTTTTGTAACGATACACTTTTTATTTGTTTCTGTACTTTCGCTGTGTTTCTTTGCTTGCATGTGGATGGTTTCCAGTTAGCGACACAAGTCAACACAAAAATCATTCTGTTTTCTCAATATTCATTGAAAAATAAAAATAAACCAATTTTTGTTTCGGCTTGTGTCATTACCTGAAAAGCACCTGTTGCTACACTATTTCCTCCGATACACAGCAGAGTGAAATCTAAAGCAAAGTCTTGATTTGATGTGCACAACATGTCTTTGAATACTGCTTTTGTTTTGCTGTATAAACGTGTTTGTTTTGCTGTATAAATACAAGATTATGCTACACTAGTAATCTAGAAAAAAGAAAATGTAGTTATTTCTAGGTATGTTCCACGAACGCTATTGTTTGCATTAGTTATGGTAACTTATTCATTAAGAATCGAATATATATCGAATATACTGGCTTTATCAAAGACATTAATTTTTAAAACTAATAATTTAATAAGTTTTAAAATTTGATTCTTTGTAATTTCTTGGTAATTCTTTTGTAAATAGTAATGTATGTTGAGATGCATCTTTAGAAAATCAATATATGTAAATTTCT